CATTATTAGAACAAACCTCTCTATTCCTTGAATTAAGAGAATGGAGCTGTATATCTAACCTATTTTGAGTATACAAATACAAAATGGTTGTTCATTTATATCCCCCTTTTTTGTGTTTTTCTTTTTCTTTTCTTAAATGGTAGTGTGCTGACTTCTTTTTCCCTTCTTTTAATTAAAAATTTTTTTTCCATAATTTTATTGAGAAACCAATAGCAGTGAGACAGTTTCAAATCAAATTGGTAGGACAGTTTCAATAATTAACACATTGCATACTGTTTTCCTAGTGGTTATTTGCTATACAAGATGCAGACATGATATCCTATTTATAAACACTATTAGAACAAATCCCTCTATTCATTAAGAGAATGTAGCTGTATATCCTAACCATTTTGAATACAGAGATACAAAATGGACATCCATCTGTAACCCCTTTTTTGTTTAGTTCCATCATTTGAATATTATAGATGTGATAACTCAGCAAAATATTTCAAAAGAGTCCAGTAGTCCATAATAGAATTGGGTCTTCCACTTGCCTGGCAATGTCAGAAATTGTTGACCTGAGTCCCCTATAGCTTAACATAATAACATGGCTTTACTTCTTATACTTCTTTTTTTATACTTTTCTGCTGGATGGTTAAGACCAAGATAAAGCAAGAGCTATGCAACAAGCGTTGTAGCTTTTGGGTCTGATAAGGGCAGTGAAATTCTCTCAGGATTTATCCTGAGATCCTGTACCTCAGATTGTAGAACCTTTGTCAGTGTCAGCCATAAGGATGAGTCACGGCCATTGCTTGGCCAATGTGCTCTCTGTGAAAGCCTGAGAGAATGTTTTTTCTCCATGTGACTCTCCTTAGGCACACTCTACATCATCGATCACTTTCCTCTTTGCCCTCATAATCTCCTTGATCAGAAAATTTGGGATACTACCGAGTTACATGACGTTACAGTACAAGTTCTCATATGTCCTGAGTCTTAATTGACTTTAGAAGGCTAGGGCCAAAATGTTGGCTTTCCTTACGGCCCTCCGTTTTCTCTAATTTTGGTCTGCAAACTTAGGTTGTTAACCACCCAGAAGACAAGCTTATTGTTATTACCATACAACCTAGGCTGTTAAGCTTAACCTCACTATCTGTCTGCATATCAAACATCTTAGGCATAACATGCAACAGGTGTTTTTCATCAAGTATTGATATGTTGAACTTTAAGTCCCTACAGAATATGATAAAAAACATTTAAAAATTAGAATGTATTTTAAAAATAGGCATAAAGAATTATATACTTCTTATGTTTACACATAAGTCCAAAAATCTAACCATATATAACCTTGAAGCAGGACAGTCACACAGTATTCCTTTTCCTGTCTCTTGCCTTTATTCACCACCCCCTTCTTTTTGAACAATCATCTACCCGAGAGACAGCACAGCAACAACTGGCATGTCATGACAAGCAGCCCGTATTCAGAAGACCAGAATGACAGGCACTCCAAGCATGAAACTACTATTACAGATTACCATCTTCAGTGCAGTTGTTTATTTCACAGGTATCAGTATATATAGTTAGGGTGAGAATCCTTCCAATTAACTGCTAGATTAAAAAACCTTCTGAAGATTCTCAGGATCATTGTCTTGCCCATCTTCTACATATAACTGTATGGCTTGACATTGTTATGTTTCCTAGCTCTTCTCCTTTCCCTCTCTTGAAGAACGAGCTTTTTGATTCCTTAATTCTTTGAACTGTTTTCTTTGTCTCAATTGATTTAATTTCTGTTCTAATCTTTATGATTTCTTCCCCTCTGGGCTGGGTTTGGTTTGCTCTTCCTTTTCTAGTTGTTGAAGGTGCAGCTTTAGGGTGTTTATTTGTTCCCATTCTGTTTTCCTAATGTGTGAGTTTGCAGCTATGAATTTTCTTCTGAGAACTGCTTCCATCGTATCCTTTAAATTCTGATCAGTTGTGCTTGACTTTTAATTGAATTTTAGATATTGTTGAATTTCTTGTTTAAGTTCATCTGTGATCCATTGGTTGCGAGTAGGGCGTCATTTATTTTCCATGTATTTAGGGTTTTTTTTTTTCTGGTTTCTTTTGTCATTTATTTCCAGTTTCATTGCACTGTGATCAGATAATATGCATGGAATAATTTCTGTTTTCTTGCATATACTTGAGCATGACTTATGGACCAGTATGTGGTCTATTTTAGAAAATGACCCATGTGCAGCTGAGAAAAATGTGTATTGAGCTGTGTTTCGGTGGAACATTCTGTATATGTCCACCAACTCCATTTGTTTCAAGCTCTGGTTCAGTTCTGTTATTTCTTTGCTAATTTTTTGTCTGGTTGACCTATCTTTTTGGGATAAGGGGGGGTTAAGGTCTCCTGTTAAGATTGTGGTATTGGATATTAGATTTTTCATGTCCATTAAGATTTGCTTTATATAGTTGGGTGCTCCCATGTTTCGTATATACATATTTATGAGTGTTACCTCTTCCTCTTGAATTTTTCCCCTAACCAGTATATAGTGGCCTTCTTTATTTTGCTTGATTATTCTTGGTTTGAAGTCAAGACTATCTGAGAGTAGAATAGCTACCCCTGCTTTTTTCTGAGGTGCTGGGACATGTAATATTGTTTTCCATCCTTTGACTTTCAGCCTATGAATGTCTTTATGAGTTAAATGTGTTTCTTGTATACAGCATATTGTTAGATTTTGTTTCCTAATCCACTGTGCCAGTCTATTTCTCTTAATTGGTAAATTGAGTCTATTTACATTGATGGTTATAAATGAGATGTATTGACTTACAATTGACATGTTATTTACCTGTTGTCATTTACTACTTTTTCTCCTGTGTTTGTTTGCCCTATTTAGTTGATTGCTTCTGATCTCATTCGTGGAGTTCTTATCATTTTGATCCCTCTCTCGAACATCTTTAAGTATCCTGTGTAGGGTTGGTTTTGTCATCCTGAAATTCTTTAGCTGTTCTTTGTCATGGAAGTGTTTCACTCTCCATCAAACTTGAAAGAGAGTTTTGCAGGGTATAGTAGTCTGGGCTGGAATTCATTTTCATAGAGGACTTGAAGTACTCTGATCCATGCTCTTTTTGCCTTCATGGTTTGTGAAGAGAAGTCAGCCATAATTCTGATGGGTTTTCCTTTGAATGTATTCTGCTTCTTTTCTCTAGTGGCTTTCAGTATATTATTCTTGTGCTGGATTTCTCAGATCTTGACTATTATACGTTTCGGTGTGTTTTTATTTGGGTTGAGGTTACTTGGCATTCTGTATGCTTCGGTTACCTGAATGTCACATTATTTCCTCATATTTGGGAAGTTTTCTGCTATTACTTCTGCCCATATTTTTTAAATATCATTTGTATTGTCTCCTTCTTTCTCATTGATTCCTATTAGTCTCACGTTTTTCATCTTTGCATTGTCTTGCGAGTGATGAATTATTTTTCCTGCATCCTAGTTGTTTTTAAGAGATCTTTTCTTACCTTTTCACTAGCTGCACCAGCATCTTCAAGATCTGAAACTCTTCACTTTCACTCAAACCGTTTTTGCAAGCTTGTGATGGAGTTTTTAAATTCCTCTATATCTCTTTGACTCTGCTTCATGCGATCTATTTCTTTCCTGTATTGCTCATTCAAGGAATCCATCATTTTTCTAATCTCCTCTATTTTTTTTTTTTTGATGTCTTCTTTAGAAGCAGTTATTAATTCTTTTATTGCAGTGTTTTTTTCAGATTGGGGTTCTCCCTATGTTTCTGTATTTGCTTCTTTACTTCAGATGCTATGAGTTCAGAGAATTCTTTTCTTATTTCAGAAAATTCTGCTGTGAGTTCCTCTATAACTTTCTGCTGTTGCTTATTTACTTTTGATGCTATGAATTCATACATTTGAGCTGAGCTAGTGTCCTCTGCACTTGTTCTGGGTGGGCATTGGGTTTCCTCCATGTTTCTGCATTTGATTCTTTACTGCAGATGCTATTAATTCAGGGATTTCTTTTTTAATTTCCAATCTGAGTTCCTCTGTACCTTTCTGCAGTTGTTTCTTTATTTCAGAAGCTGTTGATTCATTGATTTTAGCTGTGTGATTCCCAATTTGTTCTGTGTTAGTGTCCTCTGCATTTGTGATGGATGGGCTTGGGTTCTGAGATTGCATTTTGCTCCTTCTCGTTGTCATTTTGTGTAGCACTGTCTTCTGACCTTTGTTGTAGAGCTTTAGTGCAATTATGTCCTTAGCACCTACTGAAATTCAGTTGTAGATCTACAAAGTTTGAGTTCATCCAGCTGTGCCTGGCTTGGGTCTGGCTGCTATGCTCAGCTCCTTCCTGCTGCTGCCCTTGGGAGTGAACCTGTTGTGCCCCTTTGGCAAGATGTTCTAATACAGACAGATTTAGGATCAAGTTTTGTGAACTGCACAAAATACTTGCTGAGCTCTCACTGAAGTTTTCTCCTGTTGAACAGGGTGAACCTCATTGTGTCCAGGAGCTTATTGCTGTTGATCCCCCCTCCCCCTCCGCTCCTTTGAGGTGTAGTAGAGAAGGTTCCAGTGGAGTTTCTTGGACTCCCTGTGGCATCTTTTGTAGGCTGTCAGTGTGATTTCCAAACATGAGAGTTCCAGCTTTCCACGCTTGCTGTATGGAATGTTGACCCACATGGAGTAAATGTGGTGGTGGCCGGTTGTCCTGCATTTGTGCCTGTACGTAGCTAACATATTGCCAAGCATGCAAGCATAGGTGTCCTGCCAACCTATAAATGAAGCCCACCCAGAAGCCAGGAATTGGACAGAGGCATTGAATGACCTCTTACTTACGTCTGTCTGTTAGCTGTCAGGACTCAGCTGTAGATGGGAAACTAGTGCTGTTAACAGACCTTGTGGATGCTAGGCAAGTGTCCCAACCCCAAACTTCATTGCAGTTGTGTTCATGGGAGGAGCCCACCTGTTGGTGCAGTTTTATGAATGACCAGCTGAGAAGTTCTTGTAGGGGTTCTTAGAGCTTTGTGTCTTGCTCCTAGGCACCATACCAATCCAGTGGGCACAGAGTGGCGCTGGAAGATGGACCAGCCTGAGATGATCTTGAAGGAAGCTGTGGAGAACCATCAGAACATGATTAAACAGTTTAAAGGTATTTTTTGTCTTTCTCTTGGGGAGTGCTAAGATCTATTAATAGTTTGAATCAAGTTGGCAGAGGAATTCCTCTACAGTGGGATTCTTTTTTTGTGGTACCAGGGATTGAACTCGGAATGTTGTGCTTGCCCGGCAGGCGTTTATCTGCCTGAGTTGTCTCCATGGCCTTCAATGAGATTTGTGTCTCCACTAGAAAATTATCCTGTAAGGAAGCAACAGTTCCATAGATATATTGTATATATTTTGATGTTTTCATTTATATCTCATTTGATGGAAGCACTGGAAAGTCCAGCCTGAAGGTTATCAATTCATAATGTGGTATGCTTAATCCATAATTTGTGCCTTGAGATGTACCATTATCCTTCCTAAAAAGCTTTGCTGTTGGTATTGTGAATGCAGTGGCAGTGTTAGGTGACTGGAAGATTCTTAAGTAATGTCTAGCAGTGTGGGGGAAGCTTTTATCCTGCAGTGCTGGTGATGGGGCCTGGTTCCTTGTGGATGCGAGGCAAACACCCGAGCCCCAGTCTGCATCCCCAGCCCAGTGGCAAAGTATTTTTGAGTGAAGGTGTTATAAAAAAGGAGGGCAGTATAATATAAATGTCTTCTGCAAAGTCCGTAGTGGCGCGGCCGAAATTCTGCCACTCAGCGTCCTGAGTCCCTGCCGTGTCCTGCTGAAAGCTCTCTGACTTCCCTGGAGATTACTGGTTCTCGGCCCTGCCATGCCTCATGTGTTCTAGGGGCTTGTCCAGACAGTGCTGGTTTCCTTCCTAGAGATTGATTCAGTGAGGCCCTGCTGGAGCCTAGCAGCATTCATTTCTTACTTGTTTCCAGGTGATACTGAGACTATTGTATGGGGGGCCACACTTTAAAATCACAAAGTACGGGCTTTATAAAGTGATAGCTGTAAATGACAACTTAGAAGTTTTTAGGGTCTCTGTGAGATCTGTATGTTCTCCCCCTGACACCACCATTAATGGCATCTCTTCTGTATTCTCTGCCTTTTAAAAACAATAGTAAAAAAATTCCAGGAGTTGGAGATGTAGTACCTGCTTAGCAAGTGGGAGACCCAGAGTTTAATTCCTGGTACCAAAAAAACAAAAAAAGCCAGCAAGGTTGTTTTGGTATATATACTCTTAGGGTGCTAATAACATATATGGGCATTTTTAATAAGGCCCAGTAATTAGCATCTGGAGATCAATTTATCCTTTATGCTTTGCAGGTTTTTTTGTTCAGGTTATTCATTCTTAAGGCTGTATTTCTTCTTATTGCTGTTTTTATTTCTATCAACAAATAGAGGAAACATCCAGAATAATGTTTGACTAAATATGTAGGTACCTTGGCCCATCTAATTGACACATAAAATTGACCTTCACCGAGTAATTTCAGGAGCAGGAAATGCCAGGAATTTTATCTTTATCTCATAATAAGTTTATTTTTGGTTTAATGCTTAGAGAGTTGGTTGAACTCTTAACTGATAACTGAGGAGGTGTTTCCCGGACATCTGGGAGTCCCCTTGAGTCAACTGTGTCCGAGGCAGCTGGTGGCAGGAGGGAGTAGACCTGAGGAGTAGTCGGTTGTCAGAGTAGAGACTTGCTGGAGAAATCTCCATCTTGAGATGTCCTTGATATACAGTGACAGTCAGAGTTTTGAGAGAAATTTTTCTGACAGGTGCATTTTGGCAAATGGATTTTAAATGGAAATAAGTAGTGAAGAAGTCATGAAGTAGACTTTGTGCGCATTAATCAGATGTGTTAGTTGAGCTCAGAGCACGCATTCTTTCTGTGTGCCAGGCTCGCCGGGGGTGGCGGTGGGAGGTCCTGTGCAGAAGAGTGTCTAGCCAGTGGCGTGGGCTAACTTGAATCAGTAGGCGTCTCAAATGGTTTCTCTTCAAGTTCTCATGATAAACAAACACAGAGTTTCGAAATGCATAGGTTCTTGTAGGAGGGTGCCAGCCATCAGTACTGTAGGAAGGAAGAGAGGTCTGTGAGCAAGTGATTTTTTTTTTTTTTTTTTTTGTATTTAGTACATGGTCTGCAGGACTACAGGACCCCTTCAGGGTCTCACCATGCAGGTTGGACTCGTAATGATCCTCCTGTTTTCAGCCTCTCAAGTCCTAGGATCATAAGCGCACCCCACCATGCCCAGTCTCAGGCGTCTCAGCACACCCCCGGGGCAGGGCCAGCCACACAAGCCAGGGATTGAACCCCTTCCCTGCATCTGCCTAATCTTTAACCCGCCTTAATCAGCTGAACTATCTGGCTAGCCCTAACAAGTGAATCTTGAGTTGGGGTTAGAATCCTTTAGGCAAAGGAAGTGATGCCAGAAATCCAGCAGCTGCCACTCGATGTGTTCTTTTTTGGTACTGAAGACTGAATTTAAGAGCTTTGTTTTGAGCTACACCCAGGGCACTTTTTTATTTTTTAAATTTTGGTATATGGTTTTGTTAAGTTACCAAATTACCAAATTGGGCTCTAACTTGTGGTTTCCTGCTTTAGCTTCCCAGAGTGTAGAATTGCAGGCATGTGCCACCATGCCTGGAAACAGCCGCCAATTTTATTCTTAAAAATGGTGTTTATAGGTGTCCATTTTGACTCTCGAATACCCAGGGGTGATTTTCTTTTTCAAACCGTCATTGGTTCACTAGACAAAATGTTATCATTTGTTTTAATCAACAGTAAGTTTGACAGAAAGGTTTCAAAGTAGAACTACCTGACTCTATTCTGATGAGCAAATCAGTTTTTCTTTCAATGAATGCGAGGCACGGATATATACGAATGTGTGATGGGTATGGACAGGCAGAAGGCAGCCCATTCATTTTATATTTTCACAATGAGTTGAGCTCTCTTAGTTTCCAACAATACAATTGTAGCAACCCAAAAGGAAAACATTTAAAAACTCCGAGGGTATCTTAAAAATCAGTCCAAGGCTGGCCACTTAGCTAAAGCTGGAGATTCGGAGACAATAAGCAGCAGTGCTCATAACCAGTCCTGTCCTCAAAATGAAATGATAAAATGGCTGCACTGGACCCGTGAGAGAGAGCAGGAGCTCCCCCACACAGTGGGAAAGCAGCCTAGAAAGCACAGGCCTCCAAGAGAGCAAAGGACAGGCGAGTGAGCCGAAACAGTGGACGGTGAGGGAGAGGGCAAGGGGGAACACCTGTTACCTAATGAACCGGGAGAAAAGTTTAAACTTAATGCTTTGTACTTCATTCTGAGTTAAAATAAGCTACTTTTTTTTTGAAAATTTGTCTCGTTGCAGTAGTCACAATAAATCTTATTGTGAAACTACAGTACTCAAGAAGAAAAAAAAATCTCTATTAAAAGAGAGATACATAATTATTAAAGAGTAAAAAATACTTAACTGGTATAACTGATGCACTTGCCAGAGTACTAAAATCACTTAGTATAATAAGTAACATCCGCTTAGTCGTTTGTGCTAGTGCTCACCAGGGATTGTAGCTTTCCTTGTATGAACCTGAGCTCCTCTTGCAGTGAGTGAAGTCTGTGCGCCCTCTTCATTCTCGGGTGGGTAGGAACAAGGCCTAGGTAAGGTCCCCTCTGCTCTGGACAGGGCGGCCTTAGCGAGTGAGGGCGATGCCAGGGCTGTGGCCATGGACTCGAGGCAGAGTGCTTGCTCTCTTCTGATCCCAGCCTCCTCAGTGGGTGCAGGGCATGCAGGGATGCCGCTGAGCTCTCCTGTGGTGCCAGGGATTGGACTTGAGGCCGTGTGTGTGCTGGCAAGCGCTCTGCTACTGAGCTGCGCTCCAGTCCTTTTTATTTGAAAACACAATTTTGCTAAAAGGCCAAGTTTGCCTCAAACTTGGGATCCTCCTGGTACAGCCTTTCAAATTGCTGCGATGACAGATGTGTGCTGCGATGCCTGGAAGGATCCAGTTTTGATTCTGAAGATGCAGGCGTGTAACCTTAAATAGATTTCATTTTGGCCCCTGGTGTCCCAACTCCTCAGTGGAAACGGGTCTGGAACAGTGGCTTATCTTGCACCATTAGGGTCGCCAACCTCCACACCTTGAGGAGCTTCCTCCTCTTCTTCCACACCCATTTTGGGGTTTGCTTACTAGAGCCTCATAGTATTATACCTGTGTCGCTTTGTGTCTTAGAAAACAGCAAAAACGAAAGTTGAAATACATGCTTTTAGCTTCCTTAGTTGGAACTTAAGAATGCATTTTCCTGCAGGAAAAGGTATTTGAATTTGATTAGGTAATAGCAGAATAGATTTATTAGTACTATGCTTTAGGCATGTAACAGATTAATTTGGTGGTTAAGGGTTTACATGGTCATTAATTTCCATTTAAAAAATTTATCTGTGGGAATACAAATTGTAGGCTTAAACAGAAATGCTTAGAAACAGGATTCTTTCACAAATTGGAAAACACAGGCAGTTTTCAAAGGCTTGAAGCCGTTCCTCCCTGGTTCATTAGGTAACAGGTGTTCCCCCTTGCCCTCTTCCTCACCGTCCACTGTTTCGGCTCACTCGCCTGTCCTTTGCTCTGCTTGGAGGCCTGTGCTTTCTAGGCTGCTTTTCCACTGTGTGGGGGAGCGCCTGCTCTCTCTCACGGGTCCAGTGCAGCCATTTTATCATTTTATTTTGAGGACAGGACTGGTTATGAGCACTGCTGCTTATTGTCTCCAAATCTCCAGCTTTAGCTAAGTGGCCAGCCTTGGACTGATTTTTAAGATACTCTAGGAGTTTTTAAATGCTTCCCTTTTGGGCTACTGTTCTCTGTTCTGAAGGCAGTCATTGTCTTTTCAGTTATTTCACTGCGTCATTAAAGCATTTTTTTCTCGTGACCTGTATTAGCTTCCCTTTATACACACACGAAATTAACTTTATATTGATTGAAAGTGGGTCAGAATTTCAGTGCAACTCAGCACTGAAATTTTTCTTTCAACATGCTGCCTGCCCCCCTCTAAGTCCTGTGGTGGCCGTGAGAGGAGTCCTGGAGATCGATGCAGCAGACAGGAGGCCGCTGAGTGCCCC